GGGGAAGGAGGGAGGGAGGGAGGGAGGGAGGTCGGGCGGACCAAGGTCATGTTGGGCAGCCACCTGGGGTCGACGCGGGCGTGCCCGTGTACTCGCACCGAGACCGGGAGGGCGGGTTGATCCACTGTGGTAGCCCCACAGAGAAGGAAAGCAAAATGGCAGGCGCACGTGAGGGCAAGAAGTGGTTACGAATTAGGTCTCCAGGTGCTTCGCATTGGCAGTGCCCAGCACATGGGATGTCGCTTGCTCACCACCTTGTCTTCTTGCACATACCCCTTCCTTTTCCCTCCCTCTTTTCGTGTCTCTCTCTGACTCTCACCGTACGAAGTAACGACCACCAAGCCATGCACCGTCTCCCCGGCCAAAAAGGTTGGCCGTGAAAGCCGGCACCGCACTGCCAAACGCCGTTTTTTATTCGTTCGGGTGGAAGGGTTGGGCAGCGTCCGCGAGGTACCCCCCCACATGCTACTGCGAGACAACAAAAAGGGAAGTTCAAGATGCCACTCAGTCCACTCCGCGCTCGACCTCGACGCCTTTGACAAGCCCTACAAGACGCATGGCATGAGACACGGTAATTTAGATGACGAGACGTACACGGATCCGGTCCGTAGGCAGTAATAAAACTAAGAGCGGGCGCTACCCCGCCGAAGCAGAGAGGGCCAATGCCCAATATATCTCCGCTACCAGGTCGAGCACTCCTACATGATATACCGGCACGCACGCATGCTTCGCCCAAACACACAGGCGCACTGCGACCAGCCACACGCCCCCATAGCTTCGGGAGGGTATTTAAACAGGGTACCGAGGACACGTCTACAGTGAGCGAGGCTATTCAAGGTGGGCGATAGAGAGGCCTGATGATAAAACCATAACTTGAACGCCCACACTTCCATTCACACACGCGTACAGCTGCCTGGCAAAGGTTTGCTTGCCACAGGGACGTGGATGTGCGCGGGAGGTGGGGGGCGAAGCCATAGCCGTGGGCAGATGGCAATATAAAACAGGCTTTTAACCTCTCCATCAGGACAGCGTGAGAAGCACGGAGGGAGGTATCGTACCCATTCATGAGCAAAACGCGCAATCTGTGGCTACAATCCTTTTCCTGCCGGTGAAAAAATTGTGGAGTGCACACAGCAAGTGATATTTGTCCTGGGTGGTGTCTTT